TAAGGTGGAGGTGTTCAGGAACTCTTGCCTCTTCCCTCCTCCACCCACTAATTGCATCCTGGGTGCCTTGGCCTCCTTTCCTTCCCTCTGGCACACTGGAGGTGGAGTCTGCTTCCTATGAGCTAACCCTCACCTGTTCCCAGGATCTCACCCCTCCTACAGCCCAGAGACTTTGCCTAATCATTTCTCTTCCCCCCTCTCTTCTCTCTTCAGCCTCTTTTCCACCTGGCCCCTTCACATCACCATTAAGGATGATGCAATAACGCTCTTTTAAAAGCTGTTACCTGTTTTCATGTCCCTGCCTAGCTAGTACTTCTCTCCCTTTATATCTAGCTTTCTACTTCACATTTATCCTCCCCCTATTATAAACTAGTTATCTTCCACCAACACTGCACTGAGTCTTCTTTGATTAGTACCACATGGTATGGGTTGAACTGCAGTCCTAAACATAGGCACCTGTGCATGTAGCATTGTTTGGAAATAGTGCCTTTACTGATGAATTGGAATGATGTCATACTGGATTAAGGTTAGCCCAAAATCCAATGTGACCACTGACCTCATAAGAGAAGACAGAAAGATAGGTGCACAAGCAGAATACCATGAGACCATGGACTGAAATTGGATGATGAGTCTACAAACCAAGGAACCACAAGCATTACTGACAACCACAAGAGCAAAGAAGAAGCAAATATGGATTCTCTCCTACAGCCTTCAGATACAACATAGACTTGCTGGCACCTTGATTTTGTGACTGCTGGCCTCCAAAACTGCTCTTGATTTAAAGTCATCTAGTTTGTGATAATTTGTTATAAAAGACTTAGGAAGCTAACGTACAGCATTACTGGAATGGTGATCAACTCAGACTTAAGCATATACAATATGCAGTAATAAAAGATAAACCAGCATCCTGGTTTTCAGGCAAGTCAGGAAAAATTTGTGCCTCACCTTCTAGCCCACATCTGCCTTGAACACTGCACCATTGGACTCTGATGGCCACCTCCCTCTTGAACAGCTCCCCTTTCTTGGTATCAATGTGCTTGCAATCACCTAGATAATTCCTTCTGGTGGATCATTGGAATCCAGGCTTTCAATCCAAAATCTTCACATCCTTTACATCTGCTTCCCTTCTTGTTTCTTCTTGGAATCCAAATCCAAGAATGTGGTTATTGTCTCAGCTTCCTCCTCCCTCCTGCCCTCCATCCATTAAATCATCAGTAAACCCTCTCTCAAATTTCTAGAATCCACCCTACATTTCTTGTCTTCCTACATTTCTGCTACTGACTAACCTCAGTTCCTCATCCCTGCTGCCTTTGATCACAAGCTTAAGGCATCAGCCTCCTGCTACCATATTGCTATGTTCCAAACAGAGGACGAACTTCTTCAGATGCCTGTCAATGAATTCCATGCACTGCTGAGTCTTCACTAACCACATGACCCTCATCCATTTTACCTCTTCTTCCAAACACAGATGTCATGGCTTACAGTACAGGTTACTTGCCAGGATCTGTGATGCTCCAACCCTCACTTTAGATATTAGCATTTGCTCTTTCCCTCTCCCTGGAACACCTACTCGTTGATGAGTTTAATAAACACTTCTCAGCAATTCTCTGGGACTCTATTCTGACAAGAGACTTCCTTAACTATTTCCTATAGCCTGAGCTGTCTTGTTTCTATATTCCTAGCACCTGACACACAAACATGTATGAGACTGTTTGTTCATAGTCCTAAAAACAGTAAGAACTCCTTTTGCAGAGACTGAGCCTTCTTCCTCTATTACCTCAACATTTAGCAAAGTCCTATTCATAATACATTCCCATTATATATTTGTTGAGGTTTCACGCAAAATTAAAAATATGAAAATTAAAAATACATTGAGATGTCACTTACTAATGATAGGTTTAGGCCACATCCCAAAGCCTAATGATGTACATGGCTGGAATAACTGCAGTGAAACAGACACAGAGGCAATGAGCTACCCTCACAAAGGGCAATCTAGAACATGTAGCCAAGCCCATGCAGTTACCTTCTAACCCAGAAATCTCAATCCTGGGAATCTCTCCAGTGGCACCTTGCCAAAATATTGAATGGGTTTGCAGAAGGTATTACTCATTGCAACACTATCTGTTGTCACAAAAGACAAAACATAACCTCGTATCTCTCGATGGAGATTTGTAGAGAAGAACCCATCATGGTGGAGAGCCACGTGGCCAGTATGAATCTCCAGCCAGGGAGTAGCCCTTTAGAGCCAAGTCACATATCTCTCACCTTTTATCTAAGAGACTATGAATATATTTGTATGGATCTGTGTTAAACAGTTTTACTTGTAATTACAAAAGAAACATAAACCATAAGATGTAAGCAAAGGTTAGGTAAATGAAGAAAAAGGATGAAGAAAACAGAGCAAAGATAAATCCCCCTGAACACCTCACATTTTATCAATTTCACTTTGAAACAGTAAAAATCAGAAGCAAAATTAAGCAACTGAAATTAACTGAATTATGGGTTGGTAGCACAACCAGACAGAAGGAAATTATTTCCAGTGACTTTTGTAGCACTATTTGGCTTGAATTTCTCAATAAACTCCATATCCTGAGGACCAAAAATAAATCTTAACAGGTTTCCAATAATCACAGAAAACTAGGTTACATGGAGCTGTTATTCTTAAAATGAAGGAGTAGTGAATACAAGAAACAGCAGGCGAATAATTATATTGGCCTGCAAAAACTCAGGATTCTGTGTAAGAGAGAAAAAGATAGAATCAAAGTTAACAGAAGTTAAGAAAGACCCAGGAGTCCTGGATATGAGTTGAAAGTATCAGGTGCTTATGTTATATTTAATTTTTGAATGTTTTTCCTTAGCACTGTTCACTAAAAAGCACCATTAATGTGCCAAGAAGCCAGAAATGAGTGATTCTCAGAGCTGAGAAAGGAAATAAGTAAAAGGAATAGGAATATCCTTGACCTCAGAGGGTAATAAGCTATCAAAGATGACTTGGGTGATGTCAGAAGAACTGACACCTGGGCTGGAAGCTACCCTAGCCTTGCAGAGCCATAAAGTCATCATAAAACATCAGATGAGTTAAAATCCATGTGTTAATATAATGCAAATCATCAGAATAACACAGTAAACATAACATTCTACAAATCCCCTTGGAATGAGCAATGGATGACCAATTGAATATAGAAGAACTAACTTACTGATATCCAAGAAATGAAAAAACTGGTGGTGGTAGGGGAAGAAGTTATTCTGTCTTTCTTAAATGAGCTTCAATTTTAGGATATCCAAATAGTTGCTGAAAGAGGGGAGGGGAAATATAGAAGAATGATGGAGAGGGTGAATGCAAGTATAATATATTTCATATATTGTAAGAACTTTTGCAAATGCCACAATGTATTCCTACCCCACACAACAATAAAAAAAAAGTTGATGAAGGAAAGTTAGTTCATTCTAACTATTAGATGAAGAAAGAATAATAAAATCAGAAACACTCAGTTTTGTATCCATGAATGCATCAGAAGATTTAGATAGTGATTTTGAATATCTGCTCATCTCCCAACTGGACATCCTCTGCCTTGTGATAAGACTACACACACCAATGGCTAGAATAAAAAGTTCAAGCCTAACTCTAATCATGTCTCTTACTATCACAGCAAACTTACAGAGATATCTGGGACAGAAGAATATATGAGTCACACAAACAGGATGCAATAACAGAAGCCAGACTGGAGGATTCTCAAATACAGAAGGTATTGCAATGTGTGGACTTCATGTAGATCCTCTTGATCCAACTTGTAATGAAAGAACACGTGTCTCCATGAGACCATCCAGGATCTCTCAATACACACTATCTGTTTGATGATTTTATGAAATGTTTTGTTTTGGGATTTTTCTGTGTTATAATGATAGTGTTGTAAACTCCTTATCTTTAAGAGTTACAAAGTGAATATGACAGATGAAATTATAAGGTTTCATGAATTTGCCTCAAAATGATTTAGTAGGTAGGTGTGTGATGAAGCATGAGTAAGGATTTAAATGAAAAACAATGGCTTCTAAATTGATAAGTGTAGGGCTGGGTGTTCCTTGAAGTATTCTTCCTATTTTTGTATATATGTGAAATTTGTGATACAAAGTTTTAAAACTAACAAAATATAAAGTAGTTTGCGTCATGAACTAATAAAATGTAATGTCTTATTTGGGCTGATAATATAAGAGCCTGATGCAGACAAATCCATTAATTTTTTTCATCCTAAATTCTAAAAGAATTCAGAACACAAAGATCCTAAATAGACTTTGATGAATATAAAGATAAATAAGTGGATACATAGTATAATTAACGAATCCTACATTTCCCTGGAAATATTTGAGATCTTTTGGCAATTCTGCCTTTCTTCAGTGGTAGAAAAAGACAAAGGTGAGTCTTGCAATAAGGGCATAACCTTGTTAGACAACGCCAAAGTGAAGATTTTTTTTTCTTTTACTTTTTTTTGTTATTAAGTGTGGGTTACATTTTGATCCTTGGGCTGAAATACTTAAGGAGGCCCCCAATACCTGCTGAATGAGCATGGCTTCAAGTAATGAGATTTTCGGCTCATGGTCATTCCATTTGGGGGTGGTAGAGACAATGATAAGATTAAATGTAGTGATCACATTCTGGATATAAAATTCTTACAGTGGAAGATTTTTTTATTTTTGCCTTTATTTGAAACAGTTTCCAAATCAAGAGTCACAGAACAACAGAGCAATAGCTACTATGCTATTGTGTCAGTAAATACGGTATATGAAAAATGACCCAGAAGAACCTGGGATGGAATGTGCTCAGGATTCCGGTAAGGAAATCAGTTATCAAAGGGAGGACAGAGACCTCATCTTTACAAATCAGTGGAAACATGAATATAACATGAGATTTCGAAAACAAAACAAACATAAAGTTGGGGGTGCATCAAGATTAACAGTCTCTGTTTTGAGTCAAACCTTGTAATCAGAACATGCATACTCCTCACCTTTGTAGGAAATAATCGGGTGCTCAGCTCTCTGGCACTGGGCAGTGTCCTGGGCCTCTAGCTGGGTGAGTCTCCACATCCCCAGGCTTGAGAACAGCCATGCAATGACACAGGCTCCCTTCATGGTGGGCAAGGAGTCTCTGACTCTGGACACTTACTGGTCTTCTATGAAGCTCGTCTTCTCCTCATGTGTGAAAAGTACCTGAACCACACAAGAGAACAATACAGTGAACACAAGGTCAAGTTTTCTGGTGAGTGGTGCATCAAAAAGTACCATCACTAACTCACTATCATTTGAAGAGGTAAAGACCTTAAAAAGCACAGACACATATCTTCTTGTGTGTGTGTGTGAATACAGACCTCTCTCTCTTCTCTCTCTCCCTCTCTCTCTCTCTCTCTCTGTAATTCTGAAATAACACAAGTTGAAGCCCTCCTGAGTCACCACTACACCTAAGGATGCACAATCAATCATTGTGATCACTGACTGGTTCTGCCTCAGAAGTATGTCATCACCCCCATGAACAACATACAGATCTGTATATGGAAACCTAATAAATCCCTAACCATGACAGTTAACATCCAGGAGACCCTATTTGATAAGATCACAACCATTGCCCTTTACCAATAACCTGATTATTATTACATCACCAGCTCTTATAAATTGTCCATATGTGGTAAACACATCATTTAAAATTTAAAGATGATCTAATTGCAAAATTTCTGACTAGAGACCAGGTATGAATCAAATAGAATCTAAATTGTGGATCTTCTGGATGAAATGACAGTGCTGTGTTGGAACCAGGGAGACTTTCAAGATTATAAAAAATTTGAAAGTTTAACAAGCTTTACAGTAAGTCAGTCTTATAAAAATAACTAAAATGTGAAGCCTTAGAAAATCTTAGGAAGAAGCAAGAGTGCTGTGAGAATTGAGGGAGGCGTCCCTGCCATTTAGAGGAATCAAGGAAAGGTCCAAGGAAGAGTTCATATTTGAGTTTAATATTGATGGATTGAAAGGATTTGACAGAGATTTTTAGAAGGCTATTAGATACAAAGAAGAGAAAATGAAAAGGTACAGTGGAGGGCAAGAGGAAGAAGTACACAGTGTACTCAGGAATGTAGACCCCAGAGAAGACATTAGGGAGCAAGGAAGAGCTTAGAAAGCAGATTAGGATTTGGAAGGCAAACTACAGTAAGGTGTCAAGCCCTTTAATTTTAGAAAACAAGCCACTATAGCATATTCCTGTAAGAAGTTGTATTAATAAAATTGTTCTCACAACAGAAGTACATAGAAAATTGCATGAAGAAGAGTACAGGGATGGGAGGGTTGGAGAAGTTAATATGAAGCTACTGCCATTTCTCAGAAAATAAATAAAGCTGTGATTCCAGGTTTTGTCAGCCTGAGTAAAAAGTAGAGGCAAAGAGCAGCCCATAAATATGACAGGTAAAGGCAGGTAGAATGAGTTAAGTTGGGCCACAAATTTTGACTTTGCTCGCACTTGGAAACAGGTGTAGGTTCCTCCACTGAGTGTGGGCTGCTCTGCTGCTGCATTGCACAGTAATCAAATGAAGAAGTGTGATGGGCACCAGTTTCCACACTCAGGACCCACGGGACTAACAGATTCTACTTCCTACCTCTTAGAACGCATTCTTTGGGGAATTGAGACACTGGATTACAAGTCCAACTACCTGTGACTGCCACACTAGAGAGACCTCAATTAAGTGATCGGTGGACATGATCCCCTCAGCCTAGCTGGAAACCCAGCCATCCCTGCCAAGACAGTGAATATATGACTGACACTCCACTAAGTGTCTTTAGTAAGTATCACAGAGCATCCAGAACCCTACCTTAATTTCAGACCTCCAAATTGTAAAATGTGATAAGATGGTTGTTGTTCTAATCTGCTAGATTTTAGAAACACACAAAAAAGAGGCGCAGGCAGACTCAAGGTGATGTACATGACTTTGAGGATGGGGATGCTATTCATTTAAATATGATAACAGAAGGACTGGGTCTAGGTGAGAATAGGATCGTTCAGTCGTGTGCATGCCACCTTTAACATGCTGAGTGGATATTAGGGAAATGCAGTAAACAGTTGAAAATCCAGGTTGGATGCTTAGGAAAAAAATCAAAGATAGCATATAAAGCTTGGGGTGGTTGAAATCATAAACGTAGTTGATATTCAGCTGGGGGAAGCATGGATGAACCAATGCTAAAGACAGCTGTTTGTTGAAAGATAGTAATCAAAGAAGAAACTGCAAAAAGAGGAGAGAAAAAAACAGAGACCAGAACATGATGGTGCAAAAGGAAGGTCAGGTTAGGATAGAGGGTACAAGTAAAACATTTAGGGTCACAGCAGAGTGGCTCAAGCAGTAAAGCACCTGCCTAGCAAAAACAAGGCCCTGAGTTCAAGCCCCAGAAGCACCAAAATAAAAAAAAAATAAAAAACATTTAAAGCATAGGATGAGTCACCTGAATCCTGGTGAGGCAAAGTAAAGAGCACTGGCTTCGATCAAGGGGTGGTCAGGGGTCAACTTGTAGGGAACGGTTTCTGCAGAATAGAAGACAGATCCATACAGCAAAGGACCACGAAGGTAATGAGTGGAGGGTGTGGTAAAGAATATGTGTGGTCCCCTGTCATGCTGGGTGACCAAAGAAAATGCAGTAAAAAGATAAGCACTTTTATCTTTTAGATCGACGTCTAGAAAAATTTAGGATAGAAAAAAATAAGTTTGCTATGGTTTGAACATTCCCTCCAAAACTCATGCTGAAATTTAATTGCTAATTCCCACAGAGAGTGGGGTTTGAAAAGGTGTTGCATTGAGGCTGATATCATGGGAGTGGACTGGTTATCAAGAGAGTGGGTTGTTGCAGAAATGAGTTCAACTTCTCCAGCTCTCTCTTGTTTCCACCTCTTGCTACCATGCACACCTCTTAGCATACAATGCCCTCTACCATGTGACAAGGTAAGAAGGAGACCCTCACCAGACCGTAATCTTGGACTAATCAGCCTTCATCATTATGAGAAATAGTTTTTTTCTTTAGAAATTACCCACTCTGTGGTACTATAATATAGCAAGAGAAAATAGACTAAGACATGGATAATTAAAAGTAGATGCTTCCCTGCAAAGCAGTGTGAATTAGAGATTGTAAATTTAAGAGGGAGAGGAGATATCATATGAAAGAAGAGCCAGTAAAACTTAGGATAGGATTTTATTAGAGTTTCAGTACAGAAATTAGTTATGAAAGGGAGGAAAAAGGCCTCATCTTTAAAATCAGTAGTCACTTGAATGTCTGGTAAGACTTTAAGAGAGAGAAAAACACAGTTGAGGGTGCATCAAGTAGATCACTCTACATTTTGAGTCAAGCAAATGAAAAGGCCTTCTGGAGGATAAGCAAGTGACGATGGGATTGTTTTAAAGAGCAGAAAATGCTTTGATGAATTTCATAGTTGCTCACTATCAACAAACCTAATAAGATCTAAGAGTCCAGCAGAGTTAATAGCCTTTCCTTCATTCTGCATGCATGCATGGCCAAATGCACGCCTAGCTCTCTTTGAAGGTATGAGTTTGTAAAGGAGCCGATGAGCATCAGCTTGGGCCTTACTGCATCAGTAAACAGCAATTACAGAGTAGATATAAGAAAGGATAGATGGCACTCACCAAGACTAGGAGCCCCAGAACAGGCAGAATGTAAGAGGTCCTACTGTGCTTTAAAGTCAAATGAATGCAATTATAGGATATCATGTTAAGTGAAGTAAGCCAAGCTCAGAAAGACAAAGACCACATGTTTTCTCTCATATGTGGAAGATAGATGCAAAAGATAAACATACACACAGAAACAGATACGATCGTATACAAACTTACATGTAGAACATTTTTGTAATAGTGGAACTCAGGGGAGAAGAGACAGAAAAAACGAATGATGGAGCATCAGCAATACTGAAATACATCACACCTGTGCAGGTAGAGACTATAAAGCGATGTATTAAAAGGTGTTGAATTACAGATGTTGGGAGGGAAGGAGTAAGGAGAGTAACTGAAGGGGTCAAACTAATGAATTAAAGTATACTCGTAGCAGAGATACATTGAGAAGCCACTTTTGAACACTGACTTTGGATTAATAGAAAGACAGGACCATAAAATAGGTACAGTGTGGAGGGCGGGGGGCAGGGGTACTTGTGGGAGGGTGAGTGAAGAATATGAAGGTAAGACAACGTGGTTGGTGAGATTCATACACACATACAAAATAGAATAATGAAACCTCTTGAAATTTCTTTAAGTGGGGCAGGAACGGGGCCAAAGAGAGCAGATGGTGGGGGCGATCTAACCAATGTACAATGTAAGCCTATTCAGAATTATCACAATGAATCTCACCAGTACAACAAATATATCCTAATAAAAATGAAGGGGAAAAAGAATATAAGAGTTTCTAGAATGCTCCCATTGATTTACATGTTTCGGTTGAGCAGAGAAGCAAAAAGAAGGACTGCAAACCAAAGCAAAAAGACTATGGCTTGTGTGGGAGGAAGAGAAACTGCAAATGAAGGTAGGAAAGAAGGGAGAGGAAAACCTGGGATCCAGAGCCATGTCTGTCCAACAGTCCATAATCCCTCAGTCACAGAGGACTGTAATGGACAATGGACACACCAGTGCTAAATTTGCCTGATTTATTAAGTTAAAATATGGTTGTCACTCTTGGAAAATTGGTTACAGTTTGCAAAAGTGGAGGTCACTCTAGAAGTGCAATCAGAGGCCCATTTTTTCCTTACCCTCTTGACCTGAGAATTAAGACATGGAACTTCATCAAATGACATATCTTAAAGTAGATGTACTTGAGATGTCATTTAGGTTTGTTAAGACCAAGGAGCTTTGGGGCACCCACTCCAGTCACTCTGGAAAGGCTATAGTAGATTATTATACTCCAATATCAAAGAAACCAAAGCCAACAACGATAATGCTAAAACAAGAAAAGATAAGAGCAATAACAAACCCTCACAGTGTTAGCTCTGTGGCAGATACAAGACTAATGCTTATAGCCATGACTGGCACACAAAGCTGGATCACAAATGCATGGCCTCTCACTGAGCTGCATTTCACAGAGATCCGAGCACTGCCCTGCCTTGACCTCCAAGATTGAGCTCAAATCAATTAGAGGCTGAGAGAAAATTATTCCCTTATACATAGTTGTTCTATGTGCCAGGTC